ATTACTAGACTTAAAGTAAGTCCTTGCAAAATGTCTTAGGAAAAGTCATCATTTATTTGCTTCAAATGGGATGTTTTATAGCACTTTTACACGTCCCGTATTAAAGTCAAAGTCAAAGTCAAAATTTCTTTATTTGTTTAGACTAATAAATAGTTCTTACAAATCGTCATAATATGCTCTTAAGGAGCCTCTACATGTCTCATAATCTTTTTACCCTACCAGCGCTTCGAGACCAACATTTGGCAAGTGCTGAGAAGAAGCGCCGCAACAAACTCAGTCACCACTGTCTGCCGGTTAATATAAATAAATAGAAATAGTAGTAGTAGGTACATTCGATTCAGGAGCAGTTCACTGAATTTATGACTTTAACTCTACCAATACTTTGGGTAAATAAATGGGGAAAACAAATGATCATCACAAAAATTGGAACTGTAATTAAAAGTCATTCATAAACTTAGGTAACTGTGAATTTCCAAAATGAAAGAAAAATTACCTTTTTATCTTTTAACGAATGGACGCAAAAAAGGCGCTTATGTAAATATCTTGAAATCACAAAAACACTTGATGTCCGATCTTCAAACTCATCTTTCGTAACTGCCAAAGGCTCATTCCGAGTTTCAATTGCAATCGAATTTCCATTCAGCTGAGTTGAGCGTAGGAACGTACCGTTATCGTTAAGTCAAGTCTTAATGTCGATAGATTATGATAGGTAATAAAATATTGAACGACTTTTAAGATTATCAGAAAAATCTACTCATATTTTTTACGAATTTGTAGAAAAACTTACTCTTCATGTTTTTAAGCTTTTGCGTTACATAATTAAACTATTAGCTAGACTTCAACGAAGATTATTAATATTGTTATCGTTTTGGTACTTCGTTAGTTCATTCAATAATGTAAAAACTGTCTTCAAGACTTTCACATGCCATTAATTTCATTAAGATATTTTATGATAATTCACATCGATATCTCTATCGACACTGTTCCTATCTCTAGACGAGTGTCGGTCCAAACGAGAAGACGGCTTGCAATTATTGGCCGAACTTGGACGGATTGTGCCCTTATCGGAGAGGCAATGAAATACGGCCCTTTGTTGCTTAAGATCCTCTTTAGAGTTTGCACTTCTTTCCTTTGAGAAACTAATATAACGGTAGTAAAACAAACTACTTGGCTGCCAAGAAAGTCTGGCGATTGGTTGGGGAAATTAGTGCCACTAAAGAAAAACAAAAGATAGTAAAGACATTACCACAGAATAAGTAATAGTACAGGTACAGAAGGATTACTCCGCACGACGATTTAAATAAATGCGAGTCTTGCTGCGACGCGATACAGTGGAATTCAGCTCGCACAGCACTACGTACCTACAATTTTATTCACCTACAAGTTTTGTCTCTTTCTATCGCGTGCCTCTGAACTCTTCTTACGCTGTTAGGGTTGCTGTCTAGTGAAAAAATAATTAATCTACTTATTTGTAATGAGGTACGTATGTAGGTAAGTAAAAATAACATTTCAAATATACCTAATTAGGATTAAAAAAACTTGTTCTATTACAATGTCTTCATTCATACCTACCTATTTTAACATAAGACAGATAAATTGTAATTACTGTGAAAATACAAAGAAATATGTTAACAATGATCCACTGTCAGAAATCACGAAATAAACACTTACGCGTGGAATTTTATATCACTTCCAGGACAACACGAACTACCGCAACCACGCACTATACAATTTTGCACCATTTCTTCAGACAAAACAATGATAAGGTCCCTTGAAAAATCTCAAACGAAATCAACTGCATAGTAAACAACCGCCATGATGGGCCGGATTCGGCCGATGTTGCCACATTACCGATACCTCAGAAATTGGGATTGTAATTCCCTGATTCGCCAACACATTAAGCCTAAATGGCCGACAATTTTGTGATTTTTTATTTAACTAGGTAATCTAAGTTTCAAATATTAATTATTTATTTATTTAACTTCTTATTTGGTTAGTGAATTGGCTATTTCGAAGAATTTACAAGGAGATTTAAATAAGAAGATAGCAATACTACAGTTCACACTAAAAAGAGAGGTAGGGCCACAGAGAGCGAGATAGATATAAGTAGGTATTTGACTCAAGTTTTGTTCCCAACTTTGCCCTCCATTTTTATCTGTAGCTTCATGGCGCGGAGTGAGCCAGGCCTGACATTACTTACAGTGAACAATGTGAGTCTATCACTGTCTTACTCAATTTATACGACAATAAAACTTTCTGTGAATTTATGGTGTAGCACGTAATATGAATAAGGCTAATAAAAGAAAATGTGATGATACAGTGGTTATTAAAATATTCTGAAATATTGCTTTCAGTCAGTGTAATTGAATGTTTCCTGAATGCTGTCAAAACAAATTTTGTCTGTAATTCTTTTTATTTCAAAGTCAAAGTCAAAATTTCTTTATTTGTTTAGACTAATAAATAGTCCTTACAAATCGTCATTTTGCTCTTAAGGAGCCTCTACATGTCTCATAATCTTTTTACCCTACCAGCGCTTCGAGACCAACATTTGGCAAGTGCTGAGAAGAAGCGCCGCAACAAACTCAGTCACCACTGTCTGCCGGTTAATATAAATAGTAGTAGTAGGTACATTCAATTCAGGAGCAGTTCACTGAACTTACCATGCATTCTTGTATGGTGTATCTTATAAGAATGGGTATACAAGATTGCGTGGTATATTAAACAAGGTAGTGACGTGCTAATATCTAGACTTACATATTAAGATACTAGTAGAAATGACTCGCATACATAAATTTGAATAACTTGGATTGACCAGTCCCCGAAAGCAGCGCCTGTTCACAGACATGACGAGTGAACCAGCCATCGCTTCACTCGACCATATTAGAGGGAATGTAACGACCCGCCTCACTACGCCACCACCCCAGAGACATTTTAGTGAGAATGACAATTCCAAGTTATCTTTTAAAAAAAAACTAATAATAAAGCTAAGTAACAGTCCAGATTGAGAAGCATGACACTATAACATTTGAGAAATTATTATTAGTTTATACATTACTTTCCATTTTAATTATTTTTAGTGCGAGCATGAGAGGACCATAATCCTACTCCCAGGATGACTTATCATTAAGAAAATCTCGAGTTGTATAATAGGCTTTTTTAAGCATGTGATCTTTAACTATACCTTTAAATTTATTATACGGTAGCTCTTTATATTTATCAGGGACTTTGTTATAAAAATGGATACCTTGTCCCATAAAAGTGGCAAACACTTTATTAAGTCTAAAAGCGGGTATAGCCAATTTATTTTTATTTCTAGTGTTAATTTGGTGAATATCACTTTTCTTTTTGAATTCATTAATATTTTGTTGAATAAATAGAATACAGTTTAAGATGTATTGTGAAGCGGCCGTGAGAATGCCAATTTCTTTAAACAATTCTCTAAGGGACGCTCTTGCTTTCATTTTATACAAGTATCTTATCGCACGTTTTTGCAAAATAAATATTGTTTCAAAATCTGCAGCTTTGCCCCATAGCATGATTCCATATGACATTAGGCTATGAAAGTAGCTAAAGTAAACTAAGCGAGCTGTTGAAACATCGGTTAATGACCGTATCCTTTTTATTGCAAAAGCCGCTGAGCTGAGCTTTCCCGCCAGAGTTTCTATATGGGGGCCCCACTGGAGTTTTGAATCCAGGGTAATTCCCAGAAAAACAGTAGAGTCTACCAGATCGATGGCATTATTATTAAGTTCTATTTGGGTACTAACTGTTTTTACGTTAGGCAAAGAGAATTTTATACATTTTGTTTTCTTTGCATTAAGTTGTAAATTATTTGTAGTGAACCAACTTAAAACTCTTGTTAGTGCATTATTTACATCGTCAAAGTTATTTTTACTTCTATCAATATTAAAAATCAAAGATGTGTCATCAGCAAATAACACGATTTCGCAAGAGTCCTTAACAAAATATGGTAGATCATTAATGTATATAAGAAACAAGAATGGACCCAGAATTGACCCCTGCGGAACTCCCATTTTCACAGGTGACCCAGAAGACAAAACACCATTTATGTCAACTTTTTGAACTCTAAAGTTTAAATAGGATTGTATTAAATCCAAAGCCGAGTCCTTCACTCCATAAAGTGCAGTTTGCGAATTAGCGTTTGATGTTCTACGCAGTCAAAAGCTTTTGAGAGATCACAGAAGACACCTAGTGCATTTTGAGAATTCTCCCAAGCCTCGAAGATATGTTTAAGTAGTGCAACCCCGGCATCGGTGGTGGAACGACCCTTGGTAAAACTAAAATTTAGTAAATAAATGAAAAAAAAAAAACTTTCGTGTTTTTCTTTTAGTTTAAGCAAATAATAATGATAATCGGTATTGATATTTCAGTAAAAGTTAATTTTAAAATATTCAGACATCTTTCGAAAGTTTATTTTAGTAAATACCGAATTATAACAATGGTTTTCTTAAAGGTATTTTTTTAATGATTGATTAATACTTGTTAATACATTTTTTTAATTAATTTCAAAGATTTCACATTTCAAATGCAATTTGATAGTAACCGTTCTGGTATCGGGCTTATGAAACTCTTAACGTCTGACACGTTTCTTCTTAGTCGGGCACTCTTGTCAGAGTGGTCCTGGTTGCGCTGACGAGGTACACGGTGGGGTGTTCGATGTCATCTTCGGAGGTAGCTCTCCATTACTGATGGTTAGAGGCGTCGCGTGTACACTGGACCATGGTGGACTCAGTAGATTTTGTGATGGCGTCTATCCAGCGGTTTGGCGATCGACCGCGTGATCTCTTCGCGTCCGCGACTGACACGTCATCATCATCGTCATTTTCAGCTATACATAGAACGTTCACTGCTGAACATAGGCCTCGCCCAATGATTGTAGACTGACACTTAGTTATTACTAAATTATAGTATTAACATGTATGTTTTCTTCTACAGGCAGATATAGCACATTCGGCCAAAGGCTACGAATCGGAGGATGAGAACGCGAGCAGAAAGCGGCAGAGGGCCATCGAGGAACGGCCAGCCGGAAAGACCACCATGTACTCGAAGCAGGTTAGCTGAATTACTTTTATCATTATCATTATCAGCGGTATCATCATCACCATTGTCATCATAATCACCATCATTATTATCATCATTGTCAGGGATCATTTGGTCTCCAATTATGAACCTCTTAATTTACCAGAGGCAAATGGCGGATTAGGCTTATACACTCCCGAACATGTTGTGTTCATAATATTACGAGATATACTAATTTAATGTAATGTACTACTAGTTTCTGAGTCTTATAGCTTTGAGAAAGTAAAACAAGACCTATATAATAGACCACTATAATTCACAGTTCCAAAGGAATTGAAGTAAAAACATTCTATCATAAAATGAATTTCCTGCAGGTGAGGTCGGCGGCAACACTTAACATTCTATTTGATTTCCGTATTTCAGAGTTTTTACTTTTTTTAAACAAGTGGTGACTGATGTATTATGTGTTTAGTTATAAAACGATTTTTTTCAAGGAATTTGATTGTTACATGCTAATTGCCGACTAAATTCAGTGGCAAGCATGTTGTTTATTATGGAAAGTAGGCCCATTTAATAAGGGTTTGACCTAATCTTCAGAAATCAATACTGTTTACTAGATGAACGCTACTTTAAAAATAATGATCACTGTAAAAACTAATTTGGAAAACATTTCTTATGACATTGCAAATATGCACTCAGGGTCTGTTCTTCACTCTTCCTCGAATTAATGATGTGTTTCACCATAATTTTTCATTGTCCCAGGAATTCCGGGAGCAGTACTGCATCAACAACAAACAGCTGGATTTGCTGGAACTGGAGAAGTCCAAGAAGGAGCGATTCCTCGGATGCCTCTCTCAGTACCATATTGAGAGTCCCTGCTCCAGAGCCAACAGGTAATTTATCATCACTATTATTATTCATTCAGACCTTTATTTGGCGCATTGGAGAATATTTTTCCACAAAAAGGCTTTATGCTATGTGCTTACTCGTATCAGTCAGAAACTCAAACTCAATTTCAAATTTTACCATCAAGTTTAACTAGATCGTTTCCGGGAGCTGAAGAGTGATCTTACATGAGACAAGAAACTATAAACCTGAGTACCTAGGTATATGATGGTGGTGGCGCGATAAAGAGTTTTGACAAAAAGAAGGGCAAGCAGATGAATCTAAAGCTGGGTCTTAATAATGAAACATCAATATTAACTAAGCGAATTAAAAAATAAAACGCAGAACAAACAAATAAAATTGTAAGACAGCATTGAAGATCACTTTACATCGATATGCATCTACAATCAGCCTGTATTCAGTCTCATCTCTATTATCGATGTCATCGCTATGATAGACGTGCCCACCTGATTGGATATGCCACACGATCAGTCATCTGCGCGATCCGATTGATAAGATGTTGCTTGAATGCATCGAATAGTCTTAGCTCGGTCCACATGGAGATCAATCGGTGGAACAGATTCCAATCAGGTGAAATGCATAGCCGAGTAGCAATGTATACTCACCTCTGAACAATTATCATGCAGACTCAATGTGCTCCGATATTAATGCTTGTACTTATCATATAACCATTAAAAGCCAAAAGTACTATGCAGCCTTTGGCTGTGCAAATTGTAGCACTACTTGTACACATCATATAACCAAAAGTACTCTGCAGCCTTTGGCTGTGCAAATTGTAGCACTAACTTATTGTGTCCGGATTTCATATTCTAAAAGTCGTTATCGAAATGTTTCACTTAAGGTCATTGATGTACGAATATCTCATGATTTAAAGGGAAATGGGTCAAAACGCCGAATAAATCAAGTAAATAGTTGTCGAATATACGACCTACATCAGAAGATAGGGTAGAGCCGAAAATATCGTACTTATGATTTATTAGAAAACGGATGGGTACTTTTTAAGAGCTGCCCAACAGATTTTCTAGAAATCATCAAGTATCACAAAGTGTTTGATGTAAATTCTGAGAGGTAGATAAAAGGGTTTCTCTCGAGAGATACTTGAGAGGGTCAGAATCTAGACGTGAAGTTTCTAAGAGTTTTAGTTACACACCTTTTATGTCTTTTGTTAGAACATATTGAATACAAACCCTTGTAATGTATGTTTTATCAAAATAAAACCAAAGCAGTAGGCACTTGATGTCTTTAGGACATTTCTTTTCAATTAATGACGTACCTTAAAAAGGTCTGAAAAAAAAGTCTGAATGAAGTAAGTATAAAGATAATCAATTGAACAGTGTGTTTTCAAGCACAAAAATGTATCACTCAAGCACGCCACTTAAGCAAATCCCAAGTTGCAAAGTACATTAGTAGGCACTTGCAAAAATTGCCAGCTTTGAAATTCCCCGTCAAAACGGCGAAGTTGATAGGAGTTTAAAAGTTGTTATCTGGGATTATACCCCACACACGCTAACCGATGTTGGAGTTGTTAATGTTTTGCTCCGCTAAGAAAATAATTCTCTCGAAATGCAGGGTTTGTTTCATACTGACTTTTGGGCACGGCTTTGCCCGCGTGCATATTAGTTCAAGGATTTTTGTTCGTTCGTTTCAACCGAATGCCATACACTGCTGTACAAAGGCCTCCCCCACGGATTTTCACATTTTTTTTATACACAACGAGCCCAAAACTCTTGGCCAGTATCTCACCTGATGAAAAGTGATGATCAGGCTGAAGGTGGAAGTGACTGATTCAGTGCTTAGTTTATTTTTACTAGTGCTGAATCGTTACTCGATTTCGAAAATAAAAATAGCCTTAGTTCGTATCTTAGTTACCTTTTATTATTACCTTTAGTATTACCTTTATCACAATGTCTTCCATCATCATCACCTTTTAAATCCTGAATAAAGCTCAATATCAGTATAAAATCAATGATTGCTTACAAACTTATGTATAAGTTTCCTACTTTAATTTGTTTTCCTACGTTATATCCGGATCAAAGCCAAACAGATTATTCTCTTTCCCATTTCTTCCCACTCTACTACAGTCTACAAAACTTATTGCTTACGAAATCAAACCGTGCCCAGGGATCCCGAGCGGGCAATCTTTGGTACGTGCGTTCCATGCATAACTTACGATCTTTTGCTCAACGAGTGTGTTCGTCAAATATCTGACCCTACCACCTAATAGCGAGCCATCTTTTTGTTTATTTACACCTAATTTTCTACCCAATATGCCGGTATCCTTCGTCTGGGAATACAAAAGGGTAGGCCCGTTTATTGATAGCTGACCGTTTGTTATAAAAGTGATAGGGATGGAATAACAATGTTTTGTTTATTTGTTGTTGTACCCGTACGTTTTTTCATGTAAAAATAAGTTAAGTATTAAATTATTGCAGTTTTTAGCCACACTGAAAAAGTGTTTGGTAGCTCACTTGTTGTAAACTGAACCAACCCCGTAACTAACATTGAGACCAATACAAATATTATTAGATGAACACCTGAAATACCTACATATAGGTATCAAATAAGGGCTGTCAAAAAGTCTCTATCATCTTTTATAATCCTTAAGTTATACTTAAACTTCCTCTTAAGGGATACTTATTTCCACGTTTTATTGTTCCTAACAAAGATGCACCTTCAAATACTCTTTACTGTCTTAAATCGTATCAACATCTTCAATTTCGTCAAGTACCCACCGTTCCTATTCTAACGCAATGAATACGCCCCCTCTAATTCCTACGAATTGGCCTAAGTTGATTTCTACTATAAATGGAATACCCTCACTAAAGGTAAAGGTAACAAATTGGCCGTTTTATTATTCCGTGCCCTTGTAATCGTATTAGGACTCAAGGGATAAAAGACGACGCCGAAATTTTTTCAGCATTTTCATACCAAACTTCTTTATTCTGAAGGCGTGCCTCCCGTAATTCCACCCGATCATATTACAGCAACATGATTTATGGTTTTCAGCTGATTCGCATATTGAAACTCATAAACGTGATGGAGTTGAAGATTTTAGGTGATATTTCTAGTATTTTACTTAATTAGTCTCATGATAATGAGGTGTGAAAAGAAATGGAATGCGATTGGAGATTGTCATTGATGTCATTTGATTTCAACACAGTATTGTCACGGGAGTTTCCATGACGCATGTTGTGATACAATAGCCGTCATCACAGTGCTGATGTCTCTGTCACAGAGCTTTGTATGGAAATATGACCATGGCACTTCGTGACAATAACCGTACTACCTATCGTTTGCAGAGTTAAAGTTCCGCACCTCAAAAGACATACTACTATTTACTCGTATCTTTTCGTTAGAGCCATGTTTGGTACCTTAAAATCTTCGAGGTTTGATTGCCATGATGAACGTTAAACGACTTTTTAACACACCCATAAGATGTTACAGAACGTATCCAGTTCTGTCGTCTGCGGTCAGGTCAAAGTAAACGCAGCCCGCATCATATGAACAACATTGACGGTCTCTATACGAGTATTTTGTATTGATGCGATCTGATAGCGCGGACACGAGCAAAGAACGCAAATTGACAGTTGCGGGCTGCGTTCATTTTACCTGATCAAATGCTAATGTTGTTCGAAACCGTACGTGCGCAAGCCGACTCGCACTTGACCGTAATTTTATTAGTTAATATAATTTAATTTTGTCCACAGAGCATCATTTCTATCCGTGTGTGTCCGTCGTAGAGTGCCCTCGGATGAGAATCTCAACTCCGATTATGCACCAATACAGCGGTATCCCAGGTAAGCATTAAAATAATAAAGCATAACCCTTTCTAATGATACTGAATAAATATTTCTTCTTCTTCTAAAACACTTCAGTATAGTAGCCCTTACAACATAGCCCTTTCTAAAATACTATAGGAAGTTTTCGCTATAATACACGGATAAATAAAACAAAGCTCTTGTTGAAACACTCGAGTAAGTTTACCTATTACCATAGTAAAAGTACCTTGATGACGTACTATTTTTTTCTGTAACATTGTATTACCAAATAGTGTCTCTTTAATTTGTAATTTGCGAAAAATGTTCAAAGTAGGTAATAAAATAAAAACAAAAGATTTGACGAACTTTCCATTGTAGTATTCCATCAACTTAATTGGTCCAATCACAAAATTAAAGTATCCAAGTAAATTTTTGCTTAACATAAATAATTGAAGTCGTTAAACGAAACTCAAGATCAGTTACAGCTTAATACCAAGTCGTAAATCAGAGAGTACGGCTTATTAATCAGGCGAAATAACTCGACTGAAATCTCTATTCGAGGGTATTGTGATATCGTTCATTAATCTGTTTTAATCTCTATCGATCGAGCATAAACACTGCTAAATGTACGCGGAATAAAGCTCTTACTAGATCACATTATAATGTATAGCTCATTGTTGTGTAACAAAGTAAACAAGAAGATTAAAGGATCTAATAGGGATCTAAAGTAAATATAGTAATAGGAAAATGGTTTTAGTGAAATAGATAATAAATTCTTTTATTTCTTCGGCTTCGTCCGCGTTACTTTCAATCTGTCACATAATATCTTTGCACATCTGTATTCCTTCTATAGTCTACGTTCATCACAGATAATCTAGAATTCTAATGGTGAAAGAATTTTTAAACGGGTCCGGTAGTTTCGGAGCTATTGGTGTAGGAAAAGTTAACTATTGCTCAGTTATTAATATTCATTCTAAATCATTAAATACCTAATACCTACTTGTTGAGCAAACTCGTTTGAATACAGCGAAGAAGATTTATGTTCCAATGAGACACTATTGAAGTGGTTCTATACAGAAACTTCTTAATTTGATCCATTAAAACTTCTCAAGTGATTTTGGCAAGATTATCTTTTGCTGAACTAAGAGAGTAACAATAGTGATTCTATTATATCAGTGGAAATCTTAATCGATTGGAGTCCTCTTTGGAATTGTATTGAAGGCTAATAATAGCTCTGTCTGGGACTAACGTTATAATATACAGACAATAGCGTCTTAAATTGGAACTGGTATTTCTTGCTTTGTTACATATTATACGAACTTTCTCATTTACAAGAGGAATAATACCTCTTTTCTCTTATTTGAACGGTATAAGGTACCTACTGTAATAATACTGATTTACCAAAGCAAATTGGCTAGATACAATTTTAATTGGCAGTTAAGATCAGCTTTATTTCAAATCTATATCGCCAGAATATTAAAATACTATTTTACTGCAAATGACAGCAACTACAACCACAATAATAAATTGCCCGAGCAACTGCACTCAGGAGGAATTGATGAATGCTGCTGACAACGCCACTCTTGTGACGGAGTTTTGGGCTGACACTGTGTAGGTTTGTTATCGACACGAAAAGAAGAAGAAGAAAAATCATCATCATCATCATCATTTCAGCCATAGGACGTCCACTGCTGAACATAGGCCTCCCCCAATGCTTTCCATGTTGATCGATTGGCAGCGGTCTGCGTCCAGCGCTTCCCTGCTACCTTTACGATGTCGTCGGTCCACCTTGTAGGTGGACGTCCCACGCTGCGTTTTCCGGTACGCGGCCTCCATTCCAGAACCTTTCTGCCCCATCGGCCGTCAGTTCTGCTTCTGTATAGGCCTTATACAGAAGCTCAAAGTTGCACAGCGTGCTATGGAGAGGGCTATGCTTGGTGTTTCTTTGCGAGATCGAATCAGAAATGAGGAGATCCGTAAACGAACCAAAGTCGCTGACATAGCCCGACGGATTAGCAAGCTGAGGTGGCAATGGGCAGGGCACATAGAAGAAAAATAATAATAAATAAATCCATAGTACTATATCTTCCAAGTTTCGCCAACCTTAGTGTTATAAAAAAATGTCTGGGATCTTCATGTTCCATTAAAGAATCTTAAAGCATATAATGGAGCGAGCTTCAGTTTGATCTTTAATATGTACCTAATTACATATAAATTCGCATGTATTACCACCACTTCTAATGCTTGGTGCGTGCAGATCGCCATCGCGCCGGCGAGATCATAGGGAAATGACAGGTCGCGTGAACTGTCATGGGTCGCGCGACCTGTCATTGGCATTTGATCGTTGGTGTGGTTGAAGCTTTAGAACAGAAAGTAAAAGAACAATCTCTTCCAGGTTTGGCCAACCCTCCCCGGCCCCGCCCGAGGTGTGCGCATACGACGCCGATCTGGAGTGTTCATACTTCAGGCGGCGGCCGCGGTCCGTGTGCAGCCAACCTGACCCCAAACGCTACACCTGGATGCCAGAGGATGAAGACTTCACCCGGATGGAGTGGCCACAGTGAGTTTGGCAGATAACTAAAAATAAAATTAAATATACATAAATAGTGGGACGTCCACCCACAAGGTGGACCGACGACATCATAAAGGTAGCAGGAAAGCGCTGGACGCAGGCCGCTACCAACCCGGTAACATGGAAAGCATTGGGGGAGGCCTATGTTCAGCAGTGGACGTCCTGTGGCTGAGATGATGATGATGATGAAATATAGATAAAGAGTACTAAGCGTTTCGATTACTCTTTTATAATGCGAACAGCTAGGGACTGGAATTCGCTGCCTGCTGCTGTCTTTCCTGAACACTATAATCCGGGTCTTTTCAAGGCGAGAGTGAATAGGCACTTACAGAGCAGATACGAGTATGTACCATCATAGACTGCATCTCACTTAACATCAGGTGCGATTGCGGTCAAATACCTGCCTTGTCTTGCATAAAAAAAAAATGTTTTTTTTGTAAAAAACCGTTAATCGTGAGCTAAATAAATGCTTAAGTTACGAGTGAACCCGAGAATAGTCCAGCGGCGAGGTTCCTCGGATCACGAGTCGGAGAGTCCGCCAGCTTTACCATTGGGCTATTTGTAGCTTAGTATAAGTTAGTATATTATTCATACAATAATGAAACATCCATATGTTAAATTATTGTATGAATAATATAGGCCGAATGTAGAATACCGAAAAATAACACCTAACTAGATAAAGCATAAGCACAGCGAGCAGATAAAGATTGATACACACCCATTATCACTCTTGTATAGGCTTTACGCATCCATTTTACCCCATAAAAGGCATTATCACGGAAATAATAATTTAACCGAATGTTTTTTTCTCGATCTCATATTCAAAATTATATTTTTCATCATAAGATTTGGGGTGAGAATCTTCGGCGCATTTATTTATTTTTAATAAAAATGTCGGGTATAATTTCATTTTATATTAAAAGTATACCTACTATAAAAAATAGCAAATGATAATGAAGTAAGTCTATCAAAGACAAGAAGAACAATAATAAATTGTCTCTAAAGCCCTTTTCAAACTAAAGGCATTCTAATCCCGTAATTAGCTTTAGAGTTTCAGGATTCGAGTTATTTATTAGGACATGGTATATCCATTTTGAAGTTTGACACTCCAATTATATCGCGAAGTTGGGTTCATTCAGCACGCCGTATAATTTTAGTTCTTGGCCTGTTTATGCCAGTAGCTCTAGTCAACTTTGGACAGGTTGATAATTGCGAGTGATTTGATAAATCATTCAAAGATTCGACGCAAAGTTTGTTTTCATAAATCAAGGTTGATAGAATGATAAGTTAGATTAACTGGATTGATTTGTTTACTTTACAGAAGAGTTTGTTTTAAAGCACGTTTGATTTTATTTTATCGATACTATACTCAAATGAATCAATGATCGGGTTCCCATGACTAATAAAATCAAATCGATTTGACTTCATTCGATTAACTCAGATGTTCCCTTATGGTTTGTGATTTAGTTTAAATGAATGTGAATTCAGGGCATGGTAGCAGTTCGGTGGAGGCATTGTGCACAAAGTAACCAATATTTACTTCGTAAACAATTAACAATGCCTTCATGACCTGACCATGCAGACTGGTAGTAATTATAGTGGTTTTTGTTCCAGAAGGCATTGTAATACACGAGTATATACAGAACAACAAGCTTACATAAATTTTATGGGCAAGCTTCAAAGTTAATATTGCAGACAAAACATAGGTCAACTGGACTAGTCGCTTTAATATAAATATATGGATGTAATAATGTACGTAGGTACACTAAAGTAGCCGGAACCTTAATTAAGAGCTAGTAAGACCAAACTAGAATTTATTTCAGCCATAGTTTGTCTTACGCGACACCTATTGACTGTAGAATCCTACAGTAAATAACGCAATGAGAAACTATTAATTGTAGGTTTTCTTGGTAGAGTCGTGCTCGTGGAGTCTTTTTTGCCTTTTTTATGCAGCACAAATAAGTTACCCTATTTGATTGAAATCACACCTGATGTTAAGTGAGATGCAGTCTAGAATGGTATACCTACAATTATATGCCTTGTACGTAAGTACGTACCTACGTAAATGCCTTTCACTCTCGCCTTTCAGAACCCCGGATTGTTATAGTGCTGACAGCAGGCAGTGAATTCCAATTCATACCAAAAGGTTCTGCCAAACCAACGCATTCACACGCAACACACACGCAATCAGCCGGCGTGCAGCGATGGTGGTCAATGCATTTGTCTGATCGCCATCGCTGCACGCCGGCTGATCGCGTTGGTTTGTCTAAATCTTAATTTAAATTTTGTTCCAGATCGGTAATAGAAGATTCCGCGGGCTGGCCGCAGAACTACAACGCCGACAAAATGGCGTCAGTGAGCCGCGGAGGCTCGCTGCCCAGACCGCCCTCTATTATACCGTAAGTCTATTTAATTATTAGCAATATTAATAAACATTCATTTTTATTGTTATTTTTATCAACCGCTTCATGAACACGACCCAATTTACCAGAGGGAAATGGAGGATTTGGCCTACGCTCCCCGGTTGATGTTCGCATGATTGTCCCTTAGTCTCCTCTTACGACATTCAGTGTAATGCCCGTTTTCACCATCAAACCCTAGTTTTTAAGTGACCCCTATGAAAACAAAATACCTGATATGTAGTCACCATAGGGGTCACTTAAAAATTAGGGATTGATGGTGAAAACGGGCATAGGTGTCCTATTTTGCACATGGTAAATGCTGTAAGGCAGTGGAGACTTAATGATCTAATGATGGTGATTTTAGCAAGTACCTACAAGAGTTTGTGAAGTCCGTATTACTCCAAATAATTAAGTCTTATATGATCGCGCCGCCATTGTCGTTTCGAAGTCCCATATTTATTAGTCAATGCAGTATAAAGAGGGAGCGATATTTCTCACTTTACCAGAATCTATCAAGGATGTTACCCAGGAGTGTATTTTCAGTCATCGACGAAATACGGTGAGCTCAGGTGTGTCTACGAGTATTTTAGCAATCAGTAAAATATTGCTAACATTTTTCCGATCAGTGCAGATAATAATTATGTCGATGGGTGCCTGGAATAAAGCCGCAATCGACAAAACACAATTTTACAGGAGAAGAGATTTAGTGAAATTTTTGAATAATAACTAAACTACGAGGCGTATCCAAATGGTTTGTATATCAAACGATGCGTTATTTTTTCTGGAGTAACATATAATGTGCATAAGGTTATAGTGCTTAGAATATACATTAAAAAAGGTAGAAATACATATTGCCGCTTCATACATTGAAAGTCGGTTCCGTAAGAGTCCATTGTGGTTTTATTCCGGTAAAAAGTGCAAAAGTAATCATACAGCAATAGTGCATTGCAGCGTTGTGCGCTGATCTGAAGGATGTATGGCGAATACAGTAATAGCGGTTTGCTTGAATTTAATGATCGACTTGGAAAATGTACTGGTGAATGCTGTGTACATTATATGTTCATATGGTCCGTATCGAAATGAGTACAAAGTTGAATATCTAGAGTGTTTCGTTAATATCTTTATATAAAGTAGTGGAATTCATTAGTACATAATGATAATATTATAATATTACACGCTTTTGCCCGCGGCTTTTTCGTAGTTTAGAAGTTATCAATAATTTTGTAACTTTTTTTCAATTTCATGACCTAGTAGGCTTTAAAAAAACTTATCTTTATTTCGGGTTGACTTATCTCAGATTTCTTTATTTTGACAATATCGCTATTAATTGCAAATGTTTGAAAAAAATATTCACCTTCCTATCTTTGATGCAAGATTCAAAATTTTTGCTAGAAACATAAAAAAAATGCTTTTAGCAGAACATTCTCAAAATTTCAACTTAAATGTTTAAATAATAAAAAATGAGAACTTTCATAGGTCTAAAATAATTTTAAAAACTGCGCAGTTTTCTGGACATTCATAATAATACAAAAAAAACATGTACTTAATAGGCCACTATTTTTGTAATCGCTCCACTAAAGTGGTAAGTCGCTAAATGTTTTTGACTTTCTTAAAGTGAATTAATATGGGCAATCTTCTAAGTTTACATTACGTAGAACAGATTTAGAGACAATAACTGAACAGAACATGTTTTTATTCTCAGCAAGGAAGCTTTTGCCCTTTATCACACCTGGTGGAAACTGTGATCAGGCTCAAGGTAGAAGGAAACTTCAACTACAGAGAAACTATGGCTTCCTACCTCCAATGCCGAAACATATTGTTATTATAAATAAGCTTTAATGAACATAAACCAAATATCCCTCCTTCTTCTCTTCCTAAGTCCCCTTTATCTTCCTAAGTCTGTCGCCATAACAATAATGTTGACAGCTTTACTGTGTTCCAGCAGTTGTCAGGTAGGTACACAGCATTGCTTAATGTAAATCCAATCAACATATTTTTATTGCATAGAAGAACACCATGAAGTATTATTACTTAAGAAAGTTTAAAGAAATTGTACAAGTAGGTAATGTTTATTGTGACTTGGTACACATAGTTTGTTTCGGGGAACAAAGCCGCAATGGCCGTTACTTGTAGAAGTTTGAAATAAAACTTTTAACATTGAACATGCCACGATTATTCTGGTAAACAAATTTCCGGGAATAACGATTCAATATCTATAGTGCTTTTGGTAAATCAGCCAGTTTCAAAGATAAAATTCTGAAAAAAAATCACAAGGTGTATAGGGACCCCCAGATTACGAAAATCGCTTAATCGGAAAACTGCTGCTATGGCTATTGCGGCTTTATTCCAGGCACCCATCGATGTGAAGATTTTTTTTATTACTGTGGTCCAATTTCTGCCTCTATGGTATTTATTTATCAGTCAAAGCTATCTTGATTCACAAATGCAGGGAAGAATAAAAATTGATTCGAAATATTAGGTAGGTACTTAATTGCTAAAATACGATAGTCCAATGTGTATATTACCTAAGTACTTAGAATCCTACTGTCTCCATACTAATTGAGGTCAATCTATTTCAATCACTACCGTCAAAATCTCAATATCTCACTAATGGCATTGATTAATTGCATTAGCTGATTTGATTGAAGTTAATGGGATTTACTTCACTACAGATTGTTTCAATTAATTGTGCTCTAGCAAAAAAATATTATGATTTTCAAATTGTAGCAAGCAACAAGCTTTTGCTAGAGATTTTTGTTCAAGGAAGTGTACGAAAATAAGAAAAAGGCATTTTAAATTCTAAAGTATGAAATATCGTTTACCCCGCTGGGAATAAATTGTGTTTGCCGATATGTGTTTTAGGAAGAAATGAAGCCTAGGTCGAGGGAAGATGGAAATGCCTCGATTTTTTTGTATTACACTGTACCTAAATAGCGGGTATTTATTTTACAAAATAAGTGTTGTAAGATTTTTCTTTTGTTTTATTTCTTCATTATTATGTTTTAATATAGCAGTGTGTACTTAAAAAACAAACCTCAGATTTTCGTCAATAACAACATTTTACTCGTTAAGCAACGCTTAACCTATAAGGGCCGGTCGCCCCAGGTCACCAGAATAAAGCCACAAAAACAGTTCCAGATATTTTCTTTTTTGTCCAGCAAACCCGCTTAATGACTTCATGCTGACATGGCTATTCGAACATTATCCTCCATTAATTGGTGAATTAATTTCTGGAAAATTCCAAATACATTTGACCCAAAATGGTTTCGTTAGCAGAATCGAATTTCACAATTTTGTTTTGCGAAATGAAAGGTGTGTTTCAATTTCCCAATTAACTTTGTTGCTCACCTCTCTCAAATGTTTTCAATATTTAATTTGTGCTGTTTTGTTGCCTCAAATTTTTTTAATGTTTGATTAGGAGGGCGTGTATTTTTCCAGTTGAATTTTGTTCTTTTAATTATTTTTTTCTATAAGCGGGCAATAAAGTTTTTAGATGACTGTTTTTGTTTAAGAAATGAAATGGAATTAAATGAACTTGAGTCAATATGGGTGCTCTTAAGTAGGAATTAGAAATGTAAGGAAATTAAATGGACTTGAGTCAAGGAATTACAACGTTGTATGAAACGAAAGACCTAACAAAAAGTGATAAATCCGTTTTATAAAGCAAACATAGACTATGTCAGACTACCATGACTAGTTCCAACTTGTCATTCATTATTTTGTTTATTTCCTGTGTTTGGTGGCACTACAACAATAAAGAATAAACATTATTATTATAGACACATTTAGATCTAGCGAACCGAAACTTAAACTAACAGAAATCCATACAATTTCCCGAATCAACTAAGCTTTAGAAGCTTTCAATTACAAATTACGGACAAGTCGGCCCATGATCGGCATTTGTGCGCCCTAATTTGAATCTATATTTAAATCACGTAGCAAAGGGTGGGCTAAGCTTTACACATTTGGCAAATGATGAGAGGGATGAAACTCATGTGTGATACTTTGCGGGAAGCTTTCAAGCTTTGTTCTAAACTGTTCGTGCAATCACTTGGTGCTGTTATATTTATTATGTCATCACAAGTTTAGATGAATTTGTACAACGAACTGTTTTATGCCTCCATTGAGTAATTTATGACGTATAAAAAATTATCAATTAATAGAAACACCTAATAAATTGAAAGATAGCTGCTGCTCGGGACTATGGTGAGTCGGTATTCGATCCTCGTCACACTAAAATTTGTCCTCAGTGGGATTCGAACCCACAACTTCCGTATCCCCTTTGCTTGAATTTGTGTCTGTCTTGTTGGTTGTCCTAATTAAATAAGTAAATAAAGAATAAATAAATTTCTCTCCAGTACTTTTCACCATGAAACTTTCACAATCCTTTTTTAACCTTTAGAAGGAGCACTTTGAACCACACGTACACTGAATCTTCAGGCTGGTAGCGTAGTTAAAGTCGTAGCAAAAGTATATCCACCCCCTGAAGTAGCCCTTGACTATGCAATTATCTTTTCTGCATAATCAAAAAACCCTCACTAACTACAAAAGCCCAGAATAAAATCTGTCCACTAACAATATGCCATCAAAAATAACGTTATCATCTCTATTTGCTGGAACAAATAAAAGTCAGGAGCGTATCCCGCCCTCATTAAAACGTAATAGGCACAACAGGGTAGAACAATGGCCGCTTCGCTATAATGCAGTTATACCCCCATAAAAACTCACTGCCGGTATGGCACTATTTCCATAAATAGGCACTGTACAGGTTGGGTAGATAGAGGTCGTGTGGGTGAATATTTTAGACTCAGTGTATGGACGAGCAAAGGGATATATTGTACAGTGCGCATAGACTCAGCTTATTGCCTCTCTAAGTTAGCAGGTATTGTTAGGGTCTAGATCTAGGAACGGAGTGATAGGGCGACACAGGACCGGTCTTTGTGGAATTCCTTGGGGGAGGCCTTTGTCCATTAGTGGACGTCATTCGGCTGAAACGAACGAACTGAGTGGTAGTGCATGGACGAGCAAAGGAATTTGGTGCAGTGTGCATAGCTTAGCTCATCGCCTCTCTAAATTATTGTTAGGTTTTAGGTTGGATAATTTTATTGCTATAAACGACAATTTAATTTCATTCCAAACCATCTGTTTTTCATTCATTTAAAACGGATAGAACGTACTTTATATGTAAAACTATTTCACCATCAGTTTTACGATAGAGCAACAAAAGATTCCTTTGGCAAAGAGCATTTACGGAACGTAACGCCACACCCTTATATGAGTAAATGCACTAAGTTCTCACTAAAACAAGTAGTCCAGTCAATAAAGCATTATAGATGGAAAACTGTAGAACACAATTTCTGACTTCAGGACTTTATTTAGACTAGTTAGGAGGTGAACATAGCAAAAGTCCCCGCCCTTAGCCCTTGAGCCGGCGGGGAGAGGGGGGTTTAAAGGTGCCACTTTTCGGTTTTTCGCTTAATCTTCGGAAACTATGCGTCCTAGCGACATGACTACTTTGAACCAAAAAAAGCTTATTCGATTTGCTACAGCTGAGACCGTCAAGTTTTTCTATATCTTGTATAGTTTTTGCGGCATCTGCTCTAGAAGGTCTGTAAAATTGGAAATTTTATTGTCGTCTTACATGTTCCGTTCAGGAGAAAATCGACTAAATCAACATTGAGCAGACCCTATAGACATGCGGGAGCATGTTAAGCCTAGTTCCAGCGAGGGGACTACACCGTGCGTATATTTAGACGAATCACTTTGAGCCACTTTTGACTCCTCATCACTCAAAAACTACTGTGCATTAACACTTCAAATTTGGCTCATGTGTTGAGACTTGCAAGATATACATCAGTTTCAAATTTCATAAATATGCCTCAAACGGTTCTTTAGATATTGACGTCCAAAAATCTACATGTCTGACCTATAGACCAAATTCTAACCACTTCCAGATGACCTCGAAGGTTCAAACTTGGCATCCAGAAAGGTAGTTATGTAAATACAAAGGAACAAATAAAAAACCAGTAAATTTTAACATTTCACATGTGATAGATAGATAGTAGTGCTCTAAATATCGATTTTTGAACGTCAATACCTAAATAACCGTTTGAGGTATATTTATGAAATTTGAAGCTGATGTATATCTTGCAAGTCTCAATACATGAGCCAAATTTGAAGTGTTAATGCACAGTAGTTTTTGAATGATGAGGAGTCAAAAGTGGCGCTAATTGGTTCGTCTAAATATACGCACGGTGCAGTCCCCTCCATGGAACTAGGCTTAACATGCTCCCGCATGTCTATAGTGTTTGCTCAATGTTGATTTAGTCGATTTTCTCCTGAAAGGAACATGTAAGACAACAATAAAATTTCCAATTTTACAGACCTTCTAGAGCAGATGCCGCAAAAACTATACAAGATATAGAAAAACTTGACGGTCTCACCTGTCGCAAATTGAATAAGCTTTTTTTGGTTCATAGTAGTCATGTCACTAGGATGCATAGTTTCCGAGGATTAAGCGAAAAACCGAAAAGTGATACCTTTAAACCCCCCTCTCCCTGCCGGCTCAAGGGCTAAGGGCGGGGACTTTTGCTATGTTCACCACCTAACTAGGCTAAATAAAGTCCCGAGGTCAGAAATTGTGTTCCACGGATTTCTCTCTACACCGTCGTTAAGGCATTCAGTGACTGGACTAAAGTGTGTAAGTGTAATTCATAAAAATGACACGCCATTAAAATGTAGGGACGACCACGACCACTCTACCTCCATTACACTTATTGTGGTTTCCTCTTATGTATCTGCTTTAACTCACTGAAGCATTATGACATGACTGTAATGCTTATTTATTTTCCACGTGGTTTTTAAAAGAAAGACATGAATGAAGGATAGATAGTCCAGTAGTCCGGTATATAATCTCGCCAAAATCAACGCCATTTTTGGTTGTCAAACCTGAAAGCACAACCATTTAAACATACTCGTAAAAGCACAATTAGATCCTAACTCCATCGTCACCTTTATTTACCTGTAGGAGGATGCGCGACGCGATAAGCGGTTATCACGCCATTTTATCGTTTTTTCCATACATTTTGACGTCGATAAAGTATAGATATTACGGCGCGCATCTTAGCTCGGCAACTGATGATCTAACTTCTGAATACCACTCAAAGCATTTGTTTGTACGTTTCCAGCTGTCCTGCGCACACACCGATCCCCCCGCCTCCCCCGCCACCACCTCTGACCATGGCACCTCACAGGTAATAATATAACTTTAGTAATTAGAACTAAAACAAACGGCTGGCTTATACGAGGACTAATTAGAATTAGAACAAACAGCTGGTCTATTTCCACGCCTATTTTGATGTTAACAAATCGATTTAAAAAGCACATAAAATTGACCGCTATTGCGATCCATTAGTAATGTTTGTAAATTATTGTTGTAAGAATTTCGCATCTTAGGGGAAACCCGACAGGCTCCACTGAATGCCTTGGACATTATTTTTGTGTCATTTTCAGCTAATTGTGACTTCGGGAGAAGTTGGGAACAAAAAGAAAGAATCCTCAGAAATATTTTAAACAACAATATCAGATTAGGGAACTTAATTTGCTATTTTTCAAAAGTAACATAGCTAAAAGTTCGGATACTTTCAAAATGCAATGCAGTAAGCTTAAGGCTGAATTGTCAAATCAAGCCATTGATTGCATTATCTTTGGTCTCTCAAAAACGGCACAACCACACACGACATAGTGCTTTCATCTAAATAAACTAAAAGCCTTTAACTCCTGCACAACCGTTCCGAAATGTTCTCGAATAACGAGGTCACAAGTAAAACTTTAACAGAGAGCAGCGGGCGAGCCGTCTGCATTAGGGCTTCGATCCCCTAATCTAGGAGTTAGCCTATTCAATCCAGGCTTACATTTGGCTGAGAGTTTTTCCTGGAATTATTTTGGGACGCGTTCGTTAATTAACGAATGTAGTTGGGGTTCTAGGTTGATTCTATTCCTACTATTATCGGAATTACTTACTGTGACTGCCCTTTTATTTGAAAGGCAGGAAACAATCATGGATAACTTAATATTGGTAACATGTTCAAGTAGAATTGCCTTTAGACAGTTTTTAAGATGTAGTGTTTACAAAAAGTATTTTTTGCCAAGCAATCGAGAACAAAGCTTCAAAAAGGTCTTGGGAAAATGCATTAAATGTTTTTTTTTTCACTTTCCAGAACAAAACACGTATCGTTTGCTCGTTCACACACACTGACCACGTTCGACGACTCTGTGATGCCCGCCGCGGTCGGAGGGAACCGCTTTCGGAGAGACTGCGAAAGACTGCTCGATGGAAGAACTTTAAAGGTAACTTATGAAATTAACAGTTTCTGACAAAAAAATGTTGTAAATATGACATTCTTTTGATTAAGTTTTGACCAATGATTTTATTTTCCTTTCGTGGATCCTTCATGGCATCCTGTCTGCTCTAATATTACGAGTTTTCGATCAAATGGCTTTTCGATGAAGTGGTGCCTAATGATAAGATGGCTTTCGACGAAAAAACTTACGATGCTCAGTAGATCCATGTTTAAGTTACGTTATATGCCGTATTAAATAATTGTGTCTGTTATCCTTTACAGTCTGAAGCAAAACAACCCTACAACACACTGCCAGTAATGTTCCAACCGTACAGTCCGTATCCACAATACATGCCGCAAGCGGCTCCCGCGCCCATCCACTACTCGTCGCAAATGACGCAGATGTCCCAAATGCAGCCGCAAATGCCCCAAATGCCGCAACAAGCAGCCACTCTTCCGAGGTCTTCTGCTGAACAACCTAAAGTTGTTGTGCTTGGTAATAAATGTTTAAATTAAGTCATTGAAATAAAATTAAAAATTTACTAGGATGTTTATACTTCCTGATGATTTAAAATTTAAAACTCTTGATAAATTACTTGATACTAAAACACTTGCAGTTTGAAAATATTTAACTCAATATTTGTTTCGACTTTCAGATAAAAAAGGAGTTATGAGGACTCAAGCAACACAAACTGAAGTTTGTTTAGGAAGAAAACCTTTGCCTCCAAATTATTTGTCGTTAAGTCCTAGAACTATAAAAAGGGTATGGATCTCAAGATAAAATTAATCGATAAGAAATAAACAGAACAACATTAATAGTATTAAACCACAATAATTTACTCTTGATTTTCAGGTTAAAATGGTAGCAGCAGGTGTTCAAACTAATGGATATACTGTAGGAGCTAGAAGATTAACCAAATCATTCTCTGAAGTAGGCGGAGATAGATTAGCTGGTCGCGACACAACTAGTGAAATCAGTGCTACAGTAGAAAGGTAAGAAAGTAAAAATGTATTTCAGAGCAATAATTTCCTATATGTTCAACATAGATGCATGATTTGTGTTCCCTGTTTGAACCTCTTTCATACCTTGTTCATGTTTTTTTCAGTTTCATTGCCAATGATCACGAAAAACTACATAGAACGCAGTCAGAAGAACCACCCAGATCCCCTCGATCCCCAACGTCCATGATGCCTCCCTCACCGCTAATGCAAAGAATGGATTCTGACGAAGTCACTTCATCATCAGTAAAATCCGTCGCCTCATCAAATTTAGATAAATCATCCGAACTGAGCGCATTACAAAGACAGGCCCAAGAATATTTCCAACAAAACTTCCAATTCATTCACGAGAGCGACAGAGATGACACCATCGATGACGACATAGAAACAATAGAGAAAAGCATGGCGTTAAATAGAAGAAATCTGGAATACCTTCAGCAAGAAATAGCGAAGCAAGCTAAGACTCAAGACAGGTCGCTCAGATTAATTTTATCAAAAAGCACTAGTGACGCTTCTCAAAAAACTATCAATTCTCATCCGCTATCAAAAACATCTACATTCCAATCGGAGCCTTCAACAGAAACTTCAGCTACAACCACAGATGACAGTGAGAAGAATGAAAGGGAGATTATAATAGACTTTGAGCCAAGGCCTGATGATGAAGCGATACCTTTTACAACATTGCGCAGAAAAAACAAAAGACCATTGCAAAAGACTCTTTCAGAAGGGGAAATACTATTAGACGTGTAAGTAGTCAACGATAATTTAATAAATTAATAAGTTTTTTTTAAACTTTGTCTAACATTATTTGTTTTCCTAGAAGGAAAAGCGAAATAAACACAAGCGATGCAAAAGACGCTCCTATCGTCATGTCAACGAGCCAAGAAAACATGGTGAGAGAAGACCGAGAAAGAGAAGCAATTTACAGACAATACATTGATCAAAATTATACGCAAACGCCTATCAAAGACGAAGGAATATTTGGATTCGAGCCCGATGGATCTTTTAGGTAACGAAAATAATAATGATAGACTTGTTCAAATAGCGATTGACAGCACAGTAGGTACATGGCACAAATATTCACTGCTGCTATCACTAGGCGAAAATTAAACATAGCTACACATACTCACTGAACATTCATAACTATTACAAACTCACTTTCTAACCAACACGAAAATACTCTTTAGTGGCTCTCTAATTTTCACGACTATACGCCATGCTATCCATCCATGCTCATTCATTTAATTCTCTTCATAGTTCTTCAGACGGAAATGGGCCATATGAAGATTTCCATGAAAAATATATTAGTTACAAGCATGAACCGTTTAGAAATCGAAGCGTTAGCTTTGAGGAACCAACAGAAATAATTAATAAAAGGGCTGAAGTTCCTGAAATCAGGTACGGTTGTCGCGAACACAGACGTATTGGCTTGTGCAATATACCTGCTTTACATGTTTTTGACTTATCTATGTGAATTATTTGTTGTGGAGTTTGTTATTTAATATGTGGTTCCTGACATAATAATACGAATCATTTATAAAATTATTAATTATACTTCTCATGCACAATATTTTACCATTATTCCTTTTTCCTCATTGTTATTGTTGTTGATTTTACGTGTTTAGTTCTGTAACTGTTTTGTTCTGATTACGTCAACATTACGTTATGTTAAAGCATTTGTAATTTCTTCCAGTACTGCAAAATCAAGTCCTGGATCGCCAGAACCAGCAAGCTTAGATGTTGAAGTGGACCACAAAATAAAAAGAGCTATTATTTCGAGTACTATTACGACTATTCTTACTCCTTTGGAAAAATCATCGCCGTGTGCATCAAACGAGTCTTTGACTGTAGATCATAGCAGGTACATGGTTAAGTTTTGTTAAGAATACGGAGCTAAGTAGGCTAGTCTTAGTAAAATTATAATTTAAAATAAACATTGGTATGTAATTACTTTCAGGGATCATTCTGATGGGTTGTGGAACGAATCGCAAACCACAGTTTTACAAGTGGATTCTGGGACTGAAAATGGAACCGTGATAAGGTATAGTCGAATTTGAATAAACAAACTTGTAATTTTTCCATGAATTCTAACCATATTTATGATTTCAGCTCATCAGATCTCAGCTCTTTAGCAGCATCACCAGGAGCACTGGCTTTACTGACGCCTACATCAAGAAGAAAACAACTTCTGTTATTGCAACATCAGCAGCGATCATCTTTGGATACAGATGCTTTGGATGAAGAATTCGATGCTTCACAAGTATGAAATGTGATTAATAAAATTATTTTTCAGAAGTTATTCTAAATATTAATTTCATGTTATTTTTGCAGAGCCAATCACCTACTTCACCAAGAAATAAACTGGATACTTCAAGCTCTAGTTCAGCACAAGCCAGATCGTCACTCTCACCACCTGCTGTTGTTCCGAATATTACATTACCTATAACAAAACAACCGACAATATCAAAAAATATATCTCCCATGGGGCCTCAAAAAATCAACCATACACCAGCGATTGCTATCACTCATCCAAGCCTAGATTTAGCAGATGTGCCATTCAAACGAACTCCTAGTTTTATCAATAAAAAAAGAGAAAGAGCTTTGAGCCCATCAAGAAGAAAAGATTTGCAAAAAAGAGCCCAGCAAAAAGAGCCAAACGGAACTCTTCCTAACCAAATTGTAGAATCTCCTTCTGAACAACCACTTGCTAAAGCTGCTAGCAGTGAAACTAGTTTAGCACGCACAGATTCTGGGAAAATAAATACCACTGATGTTTCCGAAAGCACAACGACTACTGAAGATTACGTAACGGCTAATTCAGACAGTTCAAAGAAAAGTAATTGCAAAAACCCGAACCAGAGTAAGTATTTGTCCCTTTCTTATTGTGAATTGCTTGCGCATTGGTTCTTGATAAAATTGCTCCAGTATATCTTGAATCTATACCCTCACGCTGTCCTGTATTTCAGATCCTGAAAACAATAAAGCACAAGAAGGTTCCTCATTCGAAAGTGCATCAAGTCTTTATTCTTCCACTCGCACAGAAAACATTGCTGAAGATCTAGTAGTACCAAGTTTTTCTCCTCCATTACAAATCAGTGACGACTTCATAGTACCCGATTTAGTATCACCTCCTTTACCGTTACCAGAAAGATTACCAAGAGCAGCGGTAGAGAAAATTGAAGTAAAAGCAGAAATCAATCCAACACTCGAGTCAATAAGGAGAGATAAGACTGAATTTATAAAAATAAAAGACGATGTTCCCAAAGTTTCTAAGGTATACCTTTTTTTATCTCTAAATTGACAATTTACGTAGGTATTCTATAACTAAAGATAAAAATATACATTTACAGATTTCAATGAGAGATATGGTAAGTGGTAAAAGTAGTTCTAGCGGAAGTTACAGTATAGGTGGTTCAAATCCTAACATGACAGAAGAAGACATCGATAAGACTCCCACTGAAAAAACCAAACAGATTTCTGAAAAGATTGAACCGATAACCAAAGCTGATAAAGTTACGAGTCCAATGGTCGAAAAAGAACAACTGGTTCCCAAAATGATGGTATTACTTGCTATTATTATTAATAATATTTAAAGTACTTATAGCATTATTAACTGCTTTAATGAAATTAGCCAAAACATGTCTTTCAGGGCTCATTATCTGACGATGAAAGAAGTGTTCATTACTCATCATCAGGGTATTATGAAAGTCCAGTAGAAGATGACGATGATGGCGGTTTGAGTAAGTGCAATTATTTAAATAAATAAAAGTTCTTAAAGCTTTTATTTATTTTTATTTTATTTATAGCTATTGATTACCTTCAATCAAGCAATTTTATTTTTAGCATACAAGCATTCACAAAAATATAGATCAGCGAGACCAAAAACCTGGTTATCAGATGAGAAAAGAAGAAAAAAGAAAGCGTTCACGTTAGAGTTTTCAAAGTCTTATGATGATTCAGTGTCTACATCACAAGATGATTGGGGTAAGAAAGTAAAAGACCCAGATAGTATTAGCCAAAAATCAGAACGTAGTAGTATATTCAAGCCTACATGTAGTAAATCTCCTCTAGAAGAGAAAGCGCCAGAAGTAAGAAAAAAGAAAACGCACTTTGAAAAAACCAAAAGTGTTCAATCGTCCCCAAGAGAGCCAAAAGACATCGAAAGATCACTAAAAGAAAAGCCTGTAAAAGAAAAAGATCCGGAACCAAAGAGACCTCAAGAAAGAGAACGATACGTGAAAAGGACAAAATTGAAAGCGAAAAGTCCAACACAAAGTAAAGCTAGTGATGGAAACCATGGTTATGGTAGGCCCCATTACGACAGGCGGGAAGCTATGGGTTCAAATATGAAATTACATCTAAATATTCCCACTTCAGATGATTCAAGTGAGCAATATCGAAAAGAAGGTAATTATGATGGCATGGTATAAGTTGTTTGTAATGTACACTACTAATATTAAATGCCAAAGTTTAAGTAACTATTTTTTTTTTTCAAAATGGTTTTTTTTTCTAGGTACAGGCAACGGAAATATCTCTCCAAGAAAACACAGGCGGTTGCGAGATAGTCCACGAAGAAAAACGGGTGCTAATTCTAATTCAATAAAGTCTCCTACTTCTGGTAATAACCATTCAGGATACAGGTAATGCCACATTTAATTAATTACTATTTTATTTAGATTTCATGCCATTAAGATGAGAAATTCATATTACATTATATTGGTTTAGTTGCAGGCCACGGAGAAAGAGTGGTTCAAATGAAAGCATATCACTACCTGGCAGCTTGCCTCGCAGAAAACAATCAATACCCACAGTTCCTTGTCTTAGTTCTTTAGAAGCGGAAGACATTGAAACCACCAGAACACTCGTTAGTGCTGGATCAAGATTAACTCCTTTGCGATACGTGAAGAGTCCCACAACATCTCCGAGACATCATCGTAAGCAAGATAGAGGTTGTTCCTCGCTTAGATTTAGTATTTTCTCTTATAAATGCATTAAAATAACTTCTTCTTTTGTATCGTAGATTGTAAATTCGCAAAAGCAGCATCAGCAGAATCCTTAAGATCCGTTTCACCAGGTTCTGACTCCGTATTTTATTCTGAACAAACAGAACACAGCCTAACAGGAGTCGACGGCGAGGCCAAAGCACATTGCTTACATTGTGGCAAAGAGGTTCATATAGTTACAGCTTCACACGAACAAGACAGAGCTTCAAGAACTTCCCATACAGATGTAAATATAACTTTGTTATTGAGTAATTTATTTTAGAATAAAAAAGGCATTCAAAATTCCTTATCTTTTTAGGAATCCTATGCCGATGCACAGCCTGATATTGTCCCAGCACCGGCAGGATTTGCAGATTCCCCTTCTTGTATCAGTTCAAAAAAGCATGCGACTGGAGCTCGCTTATATAAAAAGCTGGATAAAAGATACCGTTCTGAAGACAAATCTAGACACTATCGACATAGGTCTGATGTGCGAGCGAAGGTAATAATATAATTTATCAATATTTTTTATTACGTGCCTTCATGATATTATTTCCTGCGTAGTCAATACTTTTGAACCAAAATTAAGTAATGTAGATATCACTTTTAACACATCTATTGTTTATATTATCAAAGCCGAACCCCCATTTACAAACACACTTGTATGAGCCAGGCAAATTCAAACAATCTTCAGTTTCGTTATCGCAAACGTAATCTTTTGAAAGGCATTCGTTTATGTCCACACACATGCCGAACTGAGAAACCCAAGTAAAACCACGTTTTTCGCAGTTACAAGTTACATTCCACTTATTCGCAATCATATCTCTTAAGTTTTGATTATGTTTTTTGTGCAAAATGCATTGCCTGTTGACTTCGTTTGATTTATTTTCATTATAACATGGGTTGTTTGGACTGTCCCGACATTGGTTTTCGTGGCTTATGTGTTTTAATGGACAGCAAGGATCTGGACAGAAGCTATACGTGGCGCATCCAAATGACAGCTTATCATCAGATCTTGGATCGTGGTTTCTGTGACCAAATTCAGTATCCAAGCAATTAGCAAAATTATCACACGTATCTCCAAGCATAGATAAGACAGGTGTTCCCAACATGGTGTACCAACACATGTAATAGGATGCAGTTGTACGCCACTGAAATTTCTCAGTCGGACTATCAAAAGGCAAACTACTCCTTTCTGAATTCAATCTGGATTCTTTACATTCTTTATCAAGGTTTTTGACTAGCGTTTCATTGAGAACAGCTCCTTGATTTAAGGCTGTAATTACATCATCGTTTCTACTGAATGGCGCTGTTTCTATCACAGATTGCAAATACGTTATGCATTTGTAGAAATCATTTTCGCAGTTTTCAAAGACTTTCCAGTGTAATGTCCTCAAAATGGGAGTAGGGAATGCATCGTAGTATCCAATTAAATCATCAGACGGTTTTTCGTGAAAATACCTTTGATCCCATTCGTTAAATTTATAGTTTCGCAAATAATGAGCTATGTTTTTCAAGGCCATTGATATCCACTTTTCGTCGTAAACTTGAGACGTGGACTCGATGATTTGATCAGCAGTGACTGATAGTTTTGTTGTAAAATCTATTTCAATGCCAAAATCACTATCATCTTGATTGGTAGAGTCGCTTTTTTTTATAATTAAAGTTACAAGCTTAAAAATTATCAACAATCGCATTTTAGTTAGGGCACCTACAACCTTATTATACCAGAGATTTTTTTAGGTTTCTGTCAAAATATTTGACATTTTGTTTTTAATTGGTCATAGATAATTATTTTGGCAAAAGTACCTAAATTGAAAACTTTTTGCAATTGTTTATTTCTAATTAATTTGATGAATGATTCATAAATAGATTCAAAAAGTATATTGATTGGTTCTAGTCCGAAGAACGTGGCAAGGAGGAATATGCCTCTACAGAAAAACCTCAAGACACTCGTATTGCTCGGTCTGCTGGCAACAGCTTGGATAAACTAGCCGGTTCGAGTGCCAGCGTAGATCCGGATGGTAAGATTTTCCTCTAAATAGCTACCTACTTCAGCATAGTTTACTTTCAGAAGAAGTTTTTGGTACCACCACAAATTAATGAAAGATATCGAAATAAAGGCTCCTGTTTCAAAAACATACCTAAATTCTCATCAAAAAAATCATTGCCTTTGAGTTTTGTGCAGGAACACACATCCGTATTTTCACAATATACAATTTAGTGCGTAATTGTGGAGTTTGAATTCTTTCAACTATCTACCAGAACATGAAGAGTGCTCGGGCAGTTCTGAAGGTGCTGAAGGTGGCCGGGAAGAGAGAGGAGTATACGCTGCTCCATGGTGGTGTGGAAACTGGATACTGCTCTCAGAGAATGACGATCACTGGACTAGGATTCCACCAGGTAAGTACTCGTAGTATAATAAACATTTCATATTTAAATAAATTCAGAAATTGGTAATGGTAGATGATAATAACAATAAAATAAGGGTTTATTTATTTATGTATTTATAATCTGCTTGAAGGCTCACAGAAAGTCATACGAGCCAACAAGTTTTACAATACAGATAATTTATAATACTATAGTAATTAAATATAAATTACATTTTTTAGATGTCTTGGAACGAATCGAAAGCAGCAAAGAAGATCCTACAGAGTCAGAAACTGAATTTAACAAAAGATATGTAGCTCTAACACATAGACTTGTACATAGACGCGCTTGCATTGAGTTGAATAGACGGCAAGCAAATAATACATTTGGTAAGTAACATATAAGTATCCTCTCCTATACATAAATAAAACTGGGATAGTGCATGCTGGATGAAAAAAATAAATCTGAGCGGTCGAAACCAGAAAAGTAGTTTTTAAGATATATTTTATGTGTGCTTGTACGAGCAGGTAAGTTTGTTACTTATGGACTAGAAATCCACTAAGTACATTTTTATTTTACCTTTGTTTATAAATTAAACTTTAGATGCAAAGTTCAATACGCCCTCCATCCATACGACAAGAAAAAAGTACTTAACTATGTATCTGAAATTCAGTAAGTTAATATTATTAATTTATTCTAATTAAATACTTTAGGAAAATACACAAAATAATCGTGTCGAAACAAATTTTAACAGAGAAAATAAATAATAGCTTACCATGTTATTGAGGTGTGAACCAAAATGATGTGTGTTTTATGACAACGTTTATAACCGTCAACAGATTTATGTACAATTTTATTGTTTGTTTACGGTACAAAACTAAATTCTAGTCAAATACAAGTCAGAAAACTCATTTGCATCCAATTATCACTTAAAGTGGTGTAAATTAACGCGCTGTTAAAGTATTTCAACGCCTGGCTGCCCTTCATTTTCGTTATGTTCGTTTCGTCGAATTACGTCATCGGTAACTATGCGCACGTAACTGCTCCACATAGTGACGTGTACTCCTATTTTCGGTACTCCATCTTTAAATATCATCACCTATTATTTCTGGATTGTCCCAAAATTCTTTCAAATCACACGCATTGATACAATCACCGATGCGTGACGTAACGCTAAACTTGTTCAAATTATTTTTGAATTTAATAAGGTCGGAACCTTGATACATCAAATTTAGCTGTTCATTTGATTGATGCTAATGAGAATGGTTTTACTGAATCAGCAATAGTTATTGCTGATAAAAACAGGCGCGGAATAAACGTAACGGACTAAATTTAATTCTGAAACCGCTTTCCACCTCTGTACTCAGTTGTAAAAGACGCGCGACTGCGGCTGGATGATATTTTTACGACTGGCGTGGAGCACGGTCGGGTTTATATTGATTTTGTATCAATAACGTTCTGTTAACATATTGGCGAACGAGTGACGCAATTTTAATACGGTGGAAACTTAAAATTAGTGACAAAATTAGGTCAGTTATGAAGTTCAAGAGCGTTTAGGACGCATTCGACAACATGGGATTCATGTGTGAGTGTTTCTGTTTTTCTCGATTAGTTCGTCAGTTTATTTTCATCTGTATTATTTTTTGGTTTTCTTTTTTTAGTTAAAGATGTGTTGTCGAATTCTAAGGGCAGTCTCAGACAGAAGTTGGAAGAAATCTTCAAACTTATGCTTGTGGTGTGGTGCCGACAGTGCGAAGTGAACCGGCTAGTTGCTCTAGAGCCATGTGGTAACAATTTAGAAATACTCGTAAATTCTCAGTGAAATAATTATGTTTTATTAACACCGTAATCGATAATATTTCTAAAATGATAAGCGCTTTTGAATAATTTCTCATAGAATGACTAAAGCTTCCGATTTTCTTTAACCTCTAGGGCACCTTTCCCCAAGGTTACGTGAAATGGCAAATGATCCCATATCATTAGGACATTAGGTTTGTAAACTTTCATTTTGAAAGGCCTATCCAGATCTAAAGGTAACTTACAATATTGATTAAACACGATCAAAGCTTCAGAAAGAATCTGGGAGGTTCTCAAAACTGCAAAGTTTTGGTAAATAAAAAGTTGCATGTTACGTACACACAAATTGCACTTACACTAACCCGTAATTACAGCAAACGTACAGTATGAATGAACATACTTTGACAGTTGGCCATTTGCCAGACGATTCAGTGAAAGCCATAAGGCAAATATTGCACGTTTCCTACGGCAAGTGTCGGAAGTATGTCAGGGTCGGCTTTTGGGAGTTTATTGTCGTCTCTAGGCCGCTATTTCGCTCTTGAGATAACGAACTGGGTTTCAGGTCAATTTTTATGTAGTGCTCCTATAAAAATAGTGGTGCATGCAAAATAAACATCATAGTCTCTGGGATCGATGTTATCTGACTGAAGTTTTCGTATTCAATATTCAAATAAGTAGTACTTTCATCACACCCTATAAATGTGCATGTAAAATTGAAACTGAAGACTAGGGTGGAGTGTAATTTTTGCCCTTTCTTTCAAAAAGCCCTGCTGATAGTTGTGATTTTAATGACTGTGTGTACTTAATCTTTTACCTCTTCATAAAATTACTCTAACATTTTTTTACAATTAGCGCACAAAATAAACAAAAGTTCACAAATTACTTCGTCAACGTGTTTCAATACACTAGCTAAGATTATTTTGTTGAGAGGTTGATTAAGTTATTGAAATATTTCTTTCCAGAAAGCGACAAAACAGTGGTAGTGAGACGAGGTAACGAGGAGTTCGGATTTAGGATCCACGGCAGCAAGCCCGTGGTGGTCTCGGCGATCGAGCCCGACACGCCGGCGGAGACCTCGGGCCTTGAGGTCGGGGATATAGTTATAGCTGTTAATGGTGAGTTGGCTTTATATTCTGCTGTTTTAACGTGCTAATCATCATGCAGAGTATTCATTACCTGTAAGGTCTTCAGTAATCCTTGATTGAAAATCTTGGGTGTAGACGTTTGGGATATAATGAGTGAGCTTTTGTTTTACAGTTTAATAAATTATCGTGTTGGTAAATTGAATAAATATTCTATTTATTTACTGTGTAAACTCTTTACATTGTCACTCAATTTAACGACAAACTCCTTATAACGTCAAAATCTCTTGACTTTTGTTGGTTTAACTTGTGGTATCCTCAAATAAATGACCTCTCTCTATAACTGCCATAAGTGTCGTTACATGTATAGATACACTAATATGTTTATAGTTTGAACTTGATTTTGAACATATTGAAATTCAGAGAGAGCAAGGTTTATGCGTTGCTCTTGATAGATTTTAGGTTATTTATTACGTATTCAATGTGGGTGGTCAATAAAAATCTCGGCAGACATAAACCGTGACGGGACGAGGAGTTCACGTAGCGTGATGACCGCGTGCTCCCTTCGTGCCAATTATTATAACAATTTATGGGAGACGCCGCTAAATATCACGGTGTTCGCCTGACAGATTTTTGTGACACGCGATCTACACGTGTCCTGTCGGGAATTTATTTTCACTCTCAGGCACGCTGCTGGTGTAGCCTCGTGAATCCTGTAGGACGGATTTATTCCTCTAATCGGTGATTTACTTACCTTATCCTACTGGTTGATGGTCTTAACAATGACTTAAATTTGAGCTGAATATCCCTTCCATATTCAGCTCAAATCTTTTACTATTACCCTATTCAAGTGACCTAAGATATTGAAATTACCTAGCAAATCAGAATTTAGATGCTTCCTAACCTTTTAATTTGTTATTTATTTATTTTTCAGGGATCAATGTTTTAGATAAGACACATTCGGAAGTAGTTAAAATAGCACACTCCGGTTCTGAAATACTGGAATTGGATGTAAGTAAATATTTTTATTTCTTTAAATTTTCCAACTGCGTGACTCTTACACCCGTATTCACAAACGATGCTTGCATAAGTGAAGCATCAAATCGAACGCACAGCGTTGAATAGAGCTCTGTGATTGGTTCGTGTGTCCCCTGTGCGTCCACGCGCACTGTGAGACCTTTAGTAATGTTGCTCATTAAATCATAGCATCTACTACTTCTACTACGTATGATTAGACAGCCTTAAATTCTACACTTACTGGCTAAAAATACTACAGGTGGCAAGAACATGCGAAGTGGTAGCATCTCTAGCCCACGAAGGTGGTCCAGCTGCCTTATACTCAGGATACTTGTGGAGGGCGGCGCCTCTGAGGCCCCACCATCCTCCAAGATGGACGCGAAGGTGGTTCGTCCTGAAGAGGGACAACTGCTTGTACTATTACAAAACCGATAGTGTGAGTAGAGTCTACGTTTTCCTTTTTATGTTTTATGTTAAGCTTTTTTTGTACACTTGTTTGTGGTTCATTAAAAATTCACACATTGTACACAATTCCTCACAAAAATAAATACTACGAGTATTCGAATGTACACTCTCTCTCTGACAAATGAAAATTTTTAAGATTAAAAATTACAAGTAACTAGGTATTAAGTACCTTTTTTTTAAAAAAAAAAGTCACACCAGTATTAAGAATCATAACAGTAATAATTAACAGTTACAGATTATGACTTATAGTTAATTAATTTTAATACTCATTATTCTTGGTATTATACGTTCTTAAAAGCAACCGTCTTTTGTTTCAACATTTTAAGTATGTAACATCTCCCATTTATAATCCATGATTATCTTCGGCTGAACTTTAAACACACATTTAACCCGTTTATTTATATCCTCGTATTTATATTCCAGAGCATTCACCCAGTGGGTGCGCTGATGCTAGTGAACTACCAACTGACTGAAGAGGACGCTGGTAGACCGCACGGCTTCAGGCTGCAGCGCGGTGGCGGTACACGACTGCAGTTGGCGGCGGACACTTCGGAAGCGGCCGCTAGGTGGCGCGCGGTGCTGGCTCATGCTATTGATGCTAGCAATCAGGTAGAACATGATTGATTTTAGTATTAATTATCTAGTGAACTATCTACTAACTGAAGAGGACGCTGGTAGACCGCACGGCTTCAGGCTGCAGCGCGGTGGCGGTACACGACTGCAGTTGGCGGCGGACACTTCGGAAGCGGCCGCTAGGTGGCGCGCGGTGCTGGCTCATGCTATTGATGCTAGCAATCAGGTAGAACATGATTGATTTTAGTATTAATTATCTAGTGAACTATCAACTAACTGAAGAGGACGCTGGTAGACCGCACGGCTTTAGGCTGCAGCGCGGTGGCGGTACGCGACTGCAGTAGGCGGCGGACACTTCGGAAGCGGCCGCTAGGTGGTGCGCTGTACTGGTTCACGCTATTGATGCTAGTAATCAGGCAATACATGTGATTTTTAGTATTAATTATTTTATGTTTGTGTATATTATGTGGGGTTGGTCTTGATAGCAATCCTACATTTATGGTGAAGCGAGCTTTTTCAATGTAAGATCAGTACAAAATAATAATATGAGTGAATTTATTACTAAAAATAATAACTTAGATACAGTTATTATTTTTAGTAATAAATTCACTCATATTATTATGCATTTATACGTTGATCTCAGTTAGGTAAAATTTTTAAACTCAATTTATTCTTATTTATCTTGAATCAAAGTTAACCTGCGCGTCATCTACAGGAAAAGCTTTGAACTTGTAGAGCTTATAAAAAAGTTACAAAAGCTTACTACAGAGGGCGCGCGATGCTATTGATAAACTTTGTCTCGAGTTATTTAAATTCAACAACTGTTTAAATGCGAATATTTGAAAATTAATCAAAAAAATAATAATATATTAACTAATGTAAATCTTATAACAATCATGCCCAAAGTACAATCATATGCGTGGCCTACCTCCTTTATACTGGTATAGGTAATTCGATATTCTCTCGCCAGATGGCGCTGAACTTAAAGCTCTAAAAAGCTCTTCTAGTCTTGATTTTCTCAAAAATGCTTTTATGCAGTCTTCTTTTAGATTGAAACAAATATTATACATGTGTAGTTGTTTATTTCTCGTTTGAGTTACACAGTTTGAGTGATAAATTGCATTACCTACCATGCTAATGTAATTCTTTTCGTTCCAGCGAGACGGCTGGCTTGAAGTGACCATGAGAAACATGAAACTGCCTCCATCCTCCATACCGAGGCCTGACTGCTTCGGCTACCTGATGAAGCTGGGCTCCAAGTGGAAGTCTTGGGCCAAACGCTACTGTGTGCTAAAGGACGCCTGCCTCTACTTTTATAATGATGGGAACAGCAAGAGTGCTTTTGGTAAGGATATGAATTAGTTAAAAAAGTTATTGGAGAGCTATAATAATCCGGACTATTCTAATGCTGTAAATGCGAATGAAAATGTAAACACTTATAATATTATGGTGTGGTGGTGTGTATCTCACCAGGACGGCTCTGCATCGAGAGTCGCTTTATAGAAATAACATGTAGCGCAGTGTCGCTGATTTGCGGTCCATCCTTTATAATGATGACGGATACATAAGTAATGTTTGCCCCCAGGCATGGCGTGCCTCCACGGGTACAGGATACAGACGTGCGCGCCGGGCGGCAAAAAGTTCGCGTTCGAAGTGATGCCTACGGAACCCAAGCAGCGACACTTCTACTTCCATACGGAGTCTGAAATGGATAAGAAACGGTATTTATTAATCTCTTTATTCCAATAATAAGGTACTTGAAACCACTATTTTAAAACTGGCAAAACGAGACTCTCATAGATTTTGTAGGGCAATACAAGCAAATGACGTCACTATTTAATGAACTCAATTTATTTGTGAATGGTGTCAAATACCCTTAATATTGATTTGTACTGTGTAGTGGAAGCACACCAATCTTCTACCTACATAAGAGTAGGCGCACACCATTGATTTTTAGTTGGCCGATAGTTGTGCCCGATTTCAAATTGTATGATGAATCGGCCAAATCGAATCGGCGTAGTGTGCCCATACTGATCAACAGCCCGACTAAACTATCGGCCGACGAAAAATCAACGCTGTGCGCCTACTAAGGTAACAATAACCCAACGGTGTCGATGTCAGTCGGCCGATCCAAGGATCAGTAGTTCGAATCCCATCGCCGCTGGTCTATTGTGGTAAACCCACTCCTAACAAAAGCATTATATTTAGCTTAGCTGGACGTGTTAACAGGATTATTAGTGATTTGTGTAATACAATATTGTTATTTTATAAAAATACCACACATACATAATTATTTTCTTTAGTTTCATTTTATGTAGGTAGAGTCAACAACGGGCTTTTAACTTTGTCGATGTTTAGGCAACATTTGCCCACTTTTGACATTGTTCATATTAGATTAGTTCTATTTTTGTCCGAAAAGTTCTACTAACTAAACCGAACTAATTTTGAGAATCGGACCCAGATAATAGAGAGTCCGATTATTTGAAAACTAGACCGCCATTGATAATCATTGTGTTCTGTCTGTTTTCAGATGGATGGCAGCGTTGGAATACTCCATAGACCGGTGGATGAAGGCCGGTTGACGACGACATTCTGGTGTCTAAAGAACTATACGATTAATAATAATAGATCATTAAATTTATTTCTTACCGTTTTAATTATTTCAAACTTAACTGTCATTCCTTTTTAACACTATCAAGGAGTCTTCAGCAATCGTTACAATAGCAACAAAGTCAACGTGATTTGTTATCAAAATACTTACAGTAACTAAGGCTGAGTTGCACCATGTTACTTTAACTTTGACAAACGTCAAAAATCTGTCAAACTTCATATAAAAAACACCGGTTATCGTTATAGTTTCGGTCAAATTTAGGTGATGTAACTCAGCCTAAGATTACCAAAAGAGCTGGTCTATTTCGTTTAGATCCTACAAATTAACTGAGATGTGCTTACTTTACTTACTTTGAAATTATTTGGGTAAAGTTGTTTTTTTACATCTGTTCTATTCTTTAAATTTTTTTTTTCATGTTATGTAACTTTAATACCTAGGTAAACCATTTTTTTTAATTTGCCGGGAACGACGAGGGTTAATCTATTGGGAGAAAAAAAATACTAATCTGTAAAATATCAAACACAGCGTTAAGTAACGGTTTAAGATCCTTAACACGTTCACTGTTCTCGAAACGAAATAAATGTATAAAGACGAGACGCGGTTATATTTTACAAAATAATTCCGAAAATATGATAATACAAAATGTAAGTATAAAATATAATTATTATAATCAGATTTATTTACAATTTTTATTCAGTGACTGTTATTCATTGTCAATGGCTTTTTAGTGAGTAATGTACAAGGATGAGACATTTTGTGATCATAAGGTGACAACGTGATATCCCGTCCTACGTTAGTACCTACCTGCAGACCGTTTTAAAGGTAATAAAATATTTAAATCATCTATGTACGTAGTACTAGGTACAGTTTTATGAAAAGTTGCAAGTTCGAATAATTTATCAGAATATTATAATATTTGTTAAAATTATATTGATTACCAACTTGTATACTTTAACATGACATAGTTTTATTCGGATTTATTAAAATTATACATTAATATACAAATTATATGAATAAAAGGACGCATCGAAAAATATAACATTATTAAATTTATATAGCTTTAAAACAAAGTTATTCTAAAATAGATTATACAACATTGTATAATTTACATGTTTACGTATCATTACACATAATAAACGATAATACGCCCTTGTTTATACATGCTAAGTTCGTGTATGGTCTGGAGTATTCGACGATTAATAAATGTTCGTAGTTTATAATCAATAAATATTTATACCTAATCATAATAAATATTTCATGCATGTTTACTCAAATTATTCAAGATAGAGAATTGGAAAAAATATTTAAAAATATCGAAACATGGTAAGTACTTTATAAATAAACTATGATCGCTACATAACAAAATCTATCGATATTTATTTCCAAATATTTCATAAAAACGTACCAAATGACAATTGGAATGTTAGTAGTAAGTAATTATCATAACTTATAATATTAGACATTTTGAAGATTATAGTATATAAAAATATAGTAACCAAATAATATTCCTATTATATTATGTAGTAGGTATTATTATCTTAATTTAGTTGTGAAATGTAGGTTTTAGGAGAATAATGATATGTATATCTAAATATTTGATGTGCCATACATGGTGATTAGTTTAGTAAGCTGTAGTTAGAGGTTTTTGACTTATTGGTAAAGCACAATTTGTTGTATGAATTTGTCATTTTCATATTTTGTCTGTAACCTCTACATTTTTATACAATAAGCGATATATGTCAGTGTTGTGAATTTTCGTCTAAATGTCTTACAAATACTTTCAAAGTTATTTCATATTTCTTTTGCAATTGTAAATATGTATAATTTAAAAGGGGGTTACAGTTTTTTACTATAATTATATAATAATAAATGTGTATTTTATAGTTTGTGTAAACGTTCAGTAAGTATATTTTCCCCTTTAGAATGTGGTCCATACTAGGTGACTTAAAATTGTGCATTAAAATGATATTAAACAGTGGAATAAAATCCACTTCGACGATTTGTATATAAATAATCATGTAAAAGCTCAAATATATTTAAATGATAAAATAAAAAGACTTGAAGTAAACAGAATCGGTAAAAAGCTTATAGAGTAGCCTTGTATAATAGTGAGTGTTTAAAATATAGGCTATTGGATTTATTATAACATTTGTTTTGATTATTGCAAATTTATAAATGCACGTTGTAAGATTATAATTTATTGTTTATGAATAACATATAGATTTATGGACATTGTAATGTTTAAATAGCTATTAATGTGTTCAGTATATAAAATAATACGACTGTCACATCTTTGAAATATTTATTTAATTTAGATCAAAATAATATTGAATTATGTAATAAAGAAATAGTAACTGCGTGGTAAAAAGTAATATATTTATGTGTGTTGTATAATGAAATAAATGTAGAGACAGCTTCAAATTTTACATAATATTTCGTGGGTGATTCCAAATTAATAGTAGAACATCAAGAAGTGTACCTACTTTATTTTTGAATTTGATTACATATTTGGAGAAACTATAAAGTTGGGTACTAAATATTAGAAAGTCTACATTTACTATTTCAGGGAATTAAAATACGTTCAAAATTTATGTATATCATACTTAGTTAGATAATATTTAAATGTTTAATTTAATTTCAAGCCAAAAACTTGTGTCAAATAATAAATACTCTAATGAAAACACTCATTTTCCATAATTTTCACAGATGTATTTTGTTTTAAACGAGTATGAAATTATAAAATTAAGTCGAATTTTTAATAATATAATGTGACCGTATAATAGATTTCGTTGTAATAAAGAATTAAAAATATTTTTGTGCTTTTATTCATTTTAGCTACTTCCGCTTAAATGTTATCTTCTCGCACAACACACTTTACAATTTCACATTACTAATTAACTAATTTAACTTTAATTACTTTTTGGAATAGACGCGTAGACGTGTAGGTTAACCTTCATTTATTTATTTTTTAAATTATCGTTATGACTCCCGTTGATAAATAAATCTTAAAAAGTTTGATGATTTTACTTTACATATTAAAATTTATCTTTAACTTTATATTACTCCAAAAATCATAGATCAAGTTGAAAAAAAAAATACGAATGTGTCAATGAGTTATCCAAAAACGCCACCAATTAGCGTGTACCAGTGAAATTCACGATCAACTCCACCGGCCGATGTTAATTCACACAACTTATAAGCTACTAACACGAAAAATAAACAATAAAAAGATATCCTTCCCTTTTTTATCGCTCCCAAAGTAAAAACAGAGGAGGCTTGCGCGCGGGGAGGGGACACGGGAGCGCTACTGCCTACTGCGTCGGCGCAGAACGCGCGCTCTACTCCCACCAGTCGCGCGCCAACCGCGCACGCGCAGCCTAGTGATACCACCTCAAAAAACAAGTGAAACAAAACTTTGATCAAACGGATTACAGTGAATAAACACTAGTGATTACATGTGACAGTGAGGACAAGTTTAGTGATACTGATACCATATCTTTACACCGCAATAACTTTTTCGCTCCACGGTATCTATTAACTGTTTTATGGGCTGTACAGTACCTCTATTGTTGTGTGCGCTGCCACTAATCTATTCACCTGTCTCGACGCCACCTACTGCGGTTGGACTGTGAAATGTGACAAAAAATTGCAATGAGCATCCATTGTCGGACGGACCCCCCGTTTGTAAACTTTGCGGGATAACTACCTGACTACTGGAGGGTTGGGTGACGTTGGACGATCAATCGGGCAACTGGTCGCCTTGTGAGTTTTCAACAGTTTTTTGTAATGATTTTGGTAATTTAATACAGCGGATGTGGAATAAATTGGGTACGCTGGGTGCGCATCGTCGTAGCTACCTGTTTAACGCCATGTGCTTGATGCTGAGTTATTGTTTTCATCGCAGATGCCACTAAAACAATTCTGGGAATAACGGGTCTGCGGTTTACTCCATTGTTCCAAAGCTTTACAGGGGCATTTGCTTAACATTTCCTGCCACCGTGTTTCGCAGTAATTATCACGTTAGTTAGTACCATTGTGTTCTTGTAACGGAGATTTATTATGTTAAGGCTTAATAAATCTTTATTTACTTTAGCCTAGATGTTACCTTCATTAATTAAAATATTTGTACTAAGCTTCTCTTTATCTTTGATAACATTATTTATATTGTTTAGTTGATGTATTATAATAGCTAACCTTACTTGTCGATCCATAACTCGTTTAAAAGCTATCTCATTTCATTTCTACCTAAACTGTCTGTTCATTAAATAGTATGCAAATTTCAAGCATAGCTCTCAATCATATTTATGTAAATCAAGGCTACTAATTACATATGTACGACCAAAATGAGTCTAAGCTTCTAACGCTTCCAACATAATATTGTGTTTGGGCATAATGGATTTCACGACATCAAAATCATCGAATCCATTTTGATTATAAGCATAGAAATAGCTTCTAATCGATTTGTGGACGATAATCGCATACCTTTTAGTATTACTAACGTAACTACTAACGTACGTACTACAGCAGAAGCGGGTGATTGCGCGGTTACTGAACAAATAGTAGTTAATCTTTACCATCAACTGATAACAGTAATCTAATCATACGTGTTTGAAATGATGGTTATCACCTTGCAGCACAAAAAAGAACGCCGCGTGATATTCCGTATATAAATCTAATTGCTTCTAATAGACATATTGTAACACGCATACTTACTTAGCTCTTGAGATAACGCCACCACAATCAAAACGGCTGATGGAATGCATGTTTACGTCAGAAACTTTATTGTCCTTCAATGTAAGTGTCACTAACTCACTACCTATCCAGCTACTCATGGTGAAGCCGCAATTTGAATAAAAACTAGCCATTTCTGTTACACTTTTTGCTTTGAATTGAGAAGCATTGATGGAACATGTCAAATTAAAACAAATCCATATAAAAACTAAGGCAGTTAGGAATGCATCAAGTCACAGATCTGTGCATCAAGCAAAATACTAGTTCTTGCATCTCACGAAGGCGAGTGAGCTTTACTGGTGTGTGTACGTGTACATACACATAACGATAGTGTAATGTCTATCAACACTTTTGAAAAACGAACAGTAGCGAGCCAACACACATGTAAGCTCACTCGCTTTTCTGACTTGCAACTGCAACAACTATAACTGAAAGTTGAGTTATCTGTATTCTCAGTAGATCCTCAAGTAATGCTTGTTGAACAGTTCTTCTCGTGGCAAGTTACCGCATGACAATTTGAACCTTATTGGGTCATCAATAGAAAACATTTTGAAGTCAGAATAAGGCAAGCTTATACTTAAGATTGTCTTTGATAAATTGAGCTTTTAGAGCTAGTTAACTTTCTTAACTTGAGCGTTGAAAATTCTGCTTAGTTTATCTTCATCAGTAGCACACTAAATTCATCAAATATCGACAGATTGTCCAATTTCAAGCTACATCACGTATCTATCAACAGCCAGAGATTAAGACTCTACAAATCCTATGAAAATATTCCCAAACTTTGACAGCTTCAAAATCACATCATAATGTATTGTGGTGTCCATTTCAATCTTCTTTTCAACTGGTTCACAATAATACCCAGTTGCAATAACTTTAAATATGACTTTTACCAGG